AAACTAATGTAGCGCATAAATCATCAAGCACGAGACGAGCGTTGAACTCGCCGATGGGTTGCGGGCTTGTCAAGTTGAAAGGTGCATTAGCGCAAAATAACACGTAGCCACGAAAATTTCAATTAAGTTTAATGCACATGTCGGACACCACCCCTCGCCCCCGACCCCTCCGCCCCGTCTTACAACCTCCCTCGATTTATTAAAACTGATTACAGCTAAGCCGACGCTCGCCTGACTCCACTCTTGTTTTATCGCTGCACTTTGTTAGCCAAAATATGACAATGATGATAATGCAATTTTACAGCCCTTTTCCTCAAATTAACATAATTATATCAAATATATTCTAGTACCTACTTAAAATATAAATTAAAAATCGATCGTAGATTGAAAAAAAAATACGTCACGAGCAGGGCTTGAACTAGCATCCACCGCTGAACAGCTTTAAACAATTGAGCTACCGTGTCTTCATCGTCAATTTTTTTATCCAATACATGCACCTCTCGCGTAATATTTAAACCTTAACGTTTAAACATATCAAACTGTGATATATCACTTACTAGAGTGTTTATCCTTGTGCATCCTTTAAGTAGACAGACAAAATTATGTTGCAGTTTCACTTATTAATATTATCCATAGGTCAGTAGGAAATCGTTATTCTGTGCCTTATTAAAACAATATTTATAATTTCTATACTGCGCTGGGATTCGAAATAAGCAGTACATTTCAGTTCTAAGTCTTATTCAATACGGTTGAGAAGATACATTTCTATATATCTCGTTTCTTCTTTTCTTATTTCTATTTTTGGTTCTATATTTTATTGGAATTATATATGTATGAATTATTACTTAAATTAACGTCAAAAGTAGCTTACACAGGCATTCCGCCGTTTTCTATCAACTGCAATCGACAGAGGTAAAATTAAAAAAATATCCCCAACACCTGTTCGTAGCGTTTATTAAGAATTATAATAACCTATGCTAATCGTTACTAATCATTGGCTACGATAACTGTCAGATGGGTACTAAATATTGTTTGTTAAATGTCGAACTTTTTTTTCAACGATCAACACCTTTTGAAGTGTGGTTACGGCTTAGGGTTGACAACTGTATTTTTGAAACGAATTAAGAAATGTATGATGGAATTTTTAGTATATATTTAAAATACGTGTATCTATATAATTGAAAATAGATTTTTACCGTAAAACGATGTCGAATTTCCCAAATTTGATTGGATGAAGAAAATTTCAAGTACTTTAAAACGGGAATGTATTAGTAAATTTATTAAAACTACGGCATGAAAATTAATTTTCGTAATACTTTTACCGTTACCGAACCATCATGTTAGCTCTATCTCTCCTCAATTTTAATTGTAGTTACATAGTACACTTATCAAGATGCCAATCTGAAGAAATCAGGTTGCGTGTTTCAAAAAAAATGTAAACAGGAGAATTTTCTAAATTCTAGACACCTAAACTAATGGTTTGAATGTATAGCCCTAGCCCGGCCAATGTCTTTAGTATCACATAAGAATTAGGGTAATTATCAGCGGTTTAAATATAATAAAATTATCTGCTAGCCCTACAACGTATGAAGCTACAAGAACACCGACCAGGATGCCAGGTGCCGAAAGGCTTAATTCGTGTAAGTTTTAAATGATGTTCATCATTTAATATTCAATCACACGATTGCGGGTAAATGAAATCAATAAATAAGTTTGAATAACCAGATGATAGTTGGAAGGACATATAAATCAAATATACATTATCCATATCGTTGCTGTGGCACTACACACTTAGTATTAAAGTCACCCGTACATAATATGTTTGCTTAAATCTTAAACTTTTTAGTTAAGCTTATTTGAAAATGATTTTTAACTTGGGCCCGACGTTTCGGATGCTTCGCAGCAGCCGTGGTCACAGGGAGACCAAAGGGAGGGGAAGGGGGGGGGTCGCCCTAAATATATAATTTAATTTAAGAATAACTTCTCCAATTAGAACCATAAAACGAACTAGAGCAATTGGCAAAAAAACTTGCTGCCACTCTTTCTATTAGCATTGTTTATTTAAAAAACCACAAAAATCTTATGAAATTATGTAAAATTAAGATAGTATTATTGAGGTTTTGCCTTCATTTGTCACACAAAGCTTAATACCAATCCATTTCCATAAAGGATGTCTATATTGACATTTTAAAAATATTTGAGCACTCATTGTCTGCAGGTCAAACACTCGTAAATCTCTGACCGGTTAACTTCTCAATCTTCTTAAAAATGTCTTGAAACGAATTTCGGACAATGTTGCAAAGAATTGCAACTTATAAATCATAACGAACCCAAATTAATAATTAGGAGCCCAATACATGTGTGTGTATTTTTACTTGTTGTATCTACCTGTGGATATTAAGTGGTTCATTTAAACTTTAAGCTCCTAATTTAAAGTTCACGGCTATTATTGCTTAATTATAGTTTATTAACCAATGACTAGGTACCTACTTGTTTTACCATGATAGTGATCTCAAGCGGCCAAGTTCGAGTTGGACGTGCGCACAAAGTGTTCCGTACCAGTATTTGGGTAAACAAATTTCATATAGTAACATTTATAAATGTCTTTTTCGTTTAATAGAAGACAGCGAAAAGGGTAAAAAAATCACGCTCATGGTCAGATGTTTTTTTTTTGTTATTACAGTGGCAGTATTATGATTCGTGAAAATTTCGACTCCGTAGCTATCCCGGTCTGCTGATGTCAACAAACAGTAACAGTACAGTTAACCCTTTGGGTACAGAACTATATAAATGGGATTTATTTATATTTCAGGTTCGGTTTGAACGTTAGATACCTATTAAATTTTGCTTCCATGTAAATTTGCTGTAACAAATAGATTTATCTCAAAATTAATAGACCCTAATACAATGCATTGTAAAGCAATTTAAAAACACGCTCCGCCACCCTCGCTGATAAAATTTGTCCCTTATATCCCGTTTTGATTGGACGGGTTGATTTATGTGCTGTTTAGACGAATGTAGAGCATCTTCTGAGTTTTAATCGTTGACTTAATATCATTTTTATTTTTTAATTTAATATCAATAATTTTGAAAAATTCTCAATAATAATAAATAAGTCAAAATAGCCTTAGTTACGAACACTAAGCTTAAAAAACTTACAATAAAAATGTTTCTTACTTACAATTACAAATAATATTCTTGTACTAGTCTACCTATCTACTTTATTTTTATAATAAACCTAGATGTCAGAGACAAGTTTATTTCTGTACTAATTATTTCTTTGAGATTATTTATTCAAATCGTAATATTAATCGTGTGTCAGTAGGCAAAGCGAGCAGGTAAGCGTGTATGTATATAAACATATTTACTTAACATTAATTAAGAATAATTAATTCTGAATATAAACAATTAAGTTCTGTAAATAATTTAATTAACTTAAAGTTTTTATTTAATTTAGATACATGTTTAGCAATAATATTTTTTGTCAACGATCAAAACTATTGAATCTCATAACATTGGATGAGGGGTATAATATTATAGAGACATTTCCCCTGAGACAAAGTCCTTTGAGCGCAGTGATTTAAGCTAACTGCTCCCGTTTTAGGTAGACTTAACTTTAACGGTAAAAATTGTTTTCAAAAGTTATTAGTTAATATAGAAAATAGATGAATAAATATATCGTAAACAAACATTTTAGGTCTGAATTTGATCGATGTTTTTTATCTGTCTGGTTAAAAGTACCTACTGCACTGACTTCGTAGTTTCCAATAATAAGAGATAGATAGAACCAGGAAAAAGAACTAGAATATAAAAGAAACCAAATAAAAGAGAAATATCCTCCTTTTCCAGCCTAGACTTATCTATAGAATTAGACATAGAGCAACACTTATAACAGAAATATAATGTTTCTGTGTAAAAATTCAGCTAAAAATACTACATCGTACCGTCCCTCGTCAAAAGCTAATAACATTAGACTCGTCCCGTTCACTAAGAGACTTGTTCACGTCAAAATGCAACAAGGGATGCGCCCCGAACAGAATGCCAATTTTCCGGTCACCGCCACCGACTGCGCAATTATTTAGATAAACCTCTCGGCGTGACTATAAAAACATTTCCCCCCTCCGCCAAATACCCACCCTCGTTGTCTTTTGGGCTTTGTGAATTTATCGTCGGGCATTACGACGGTTAGGATAAAAATGTACTTTTAATTTATCTCGTTAAAGGGTTGAAGGACGAGCGGGTTCGCGGAGTAATTATTCCGGAATTGGCCACTTTAGCTGATGAATCCATTTCCAACCCTATATTGGGGTGATAGCGGGGTTTTCATTTTGTTCCCGCGCAGATCTCGCGAAGTGAAAGATTGCGTTCATAATAAAATAAGCTAATGACGAAGTCGGTTACGTAATTAAGAACTCATTTAGCAATATCCAGGGTTAATTATTCTAGAGCAACTTGATGATGTTTTAAAGACATCTGGAGGGTATAGGCTGGTAGAGCATCACATTACTGACAAATTCTGACCTAGCTAACCTTAGTTTGCCATATAAAGTATTTGGACGAAATTTTAATCCCACTCTTAATTATAATTTTAAGACTTCTTAAAAAAGAATAATACCTTTATACATATTTTTGGGTATCTTGACCCGTTTTCGCAGCGCTTGCATACAAAGAGAGATATTTGTTAAATGTGATTTTTCCACATTTTCAACTATTTTTCGCTCCTATTAGTCGCTGCATGTTTTATGACCTAAAGCCTTCCAATTGCAAATGAACGAAAGAAGTTTTCAATTCGAACAAGGAGGTCCTGAGATTAGCGGGTTCAAACAAACTCGTCAGCTTTATAGTATTAACATAGATTTTATTACATTATTAACATACAAAAAAAACAGGCCCATATCCATTCCCCAATCCCAGAGCTATTTTAGTACGAAAATATAGAATGTGTTATTTTTATGCTCGTGAGCGTAGATCGCTCGTATAGAGTTTGGGCCTGTATTACGTCAAAGTACTAACCTGCCAGTCTTTGTAATGATCATTTCCGTCCCGAGATCGTGAAATTTATCCCATAACTCCTTGGTTTCTAGTTGGCAGTCTACAGAGAGAAGTTCTTCGCAGTTGCACGACGTAGCGGGAGGTGCCAAAGGTCTTGCAGGTGATGGCGTGTCTCGCTCGCCTAACTCTGTTAGGAGAAAAGATATACATTAAAAAATTCTATGATATAGGCAAGGCTTGCACCCAAGACCAAAAGTGGGTTTATTTAAATTTTTCATATTTAAACATGCAGCTTTCTAAATATAATCTAGATTATAAATTGAACAAATTTACGACACGGGCAGGACTTGAACCGGAATCTACAGCGTTCCGTACTGTTGCTCTAACCAATTGAACTACCGTCCTACACGTCATCCTCGAATTTTTTCAATCACCTCTCGCGCAATTTGATTATATAATATCGATTTTTTTTTTCAACTTATAATCCACTTATAATATATATAGTGCCCTCATGTGCATTAACATGTGAAAAGTATTCATGTTTTCGAATATATACTCGTTTTTGAATTTATATCTTATCTGAAACATGTGCAGATAAAAACGTATTCAAGTATTGGATTTTAATCAACGAAATTGCTTATTTAGAAAAAACAGTTCCATTTATCTTGACATCAATAGTTTAAGTCAGATCAGTATTTATACTAAAAACTCAATCTATTAAACAGATATAGAGTTAAGTAAGATTATTCTGATTTAGATCATGCTTCAACTAGAAACATTAAATAAAGCGGATACATATGGCAGAAACATTCAATATTTTAATTATAATTAGGTTTCCTCATAAAGATTAACTGTTATTTTTTTAATTACGCCATGAACAATAATTAGAAATAACAGACATCAAAAAACAATGTACCATTAGTTATATAACTCAAATTGTTTGGTACATAAACAAGTTAACGATAGACTGATGTTATGAATTACTTAAACACATAACCTAAGAAAGATGTCGTATTGTACTTAACAACAACAAATGGAAGTTTACCACGATAAAAGTAAATAGGTGACCTATCAATCAAATCGCGGATAAAAATATTTATTTTAGGCATGTTGATGTCATCATTACTTATTATCATTAATTATTTATCAGCAGGATATGGTAAATAAGGTATTGTTCAAAACAAATGCTCGCAAACAAGGCACTAAAATAAAATGCCAACGAACACGCTCTACCTACTTAACGGTGTCGGTTCGAGTTCTGGCAGTATCAAGACCTTTCTATAATATCTTCTTAAATCCAAAGCCAAAATGGGTCAACAGCACGTCTTATTCAGATGGTATATGGGGTAGATATTTGACCTACCATCAAGCGAAGCTTGTCTGACGTCCTATATTACAATAAAATCAAATAATGTGAATGTGATAAATGTTCAAAGCCATTAATGTAGTGATAAGGTGTATACCCGATTCTTCGTGAAGTCAGCCATTCGATACCCGGTTGTGCACCAACGTTATTGTCATTAAGACATGCGTGTGGTAGATGGTGTAAAACCAAAAATCATCAATGTTATCTGCCCACGCGAATTTGGCCAGTGTTGTAGATATTTAGACAGACGAGTCCCAGTAGTGGGACTAACGAATGATCAAGATTTCAATTTTAATTACAGGAATCCAAGAAACGAAAAACGGCATCAATGTCGTGCTAGGCAGTTTCTCACCAGGGTTGCAGGGAAAGCAAGATGTCATACTTGTCAACTTCATACATGAGTGTACGAGTAATTAGTGAGAATCAATGATTAATGTCAACAAGACATGCAAGAATAATTCAAGTGTATTATGTATTACTATTATTTTGAATCCCGGTAGCTAACGTTAGATCAGACGGAAGTAGAAATGCGAATGCATGGCATTAGCTACATTACAGATAACCTTTTTTAAATGGAGGATAGACAAGCCCAAAGATCACTTGGTCGAAGGTAAAATAAACAACCCTAATGACATCTAAAGACTATCTATAGGGGTAGGTAACACTCTCGTCTATGGTTATTGTCTATGACTACTGATGAAGATGAAAATCTCGTCAAGAAAAATATTAGCCCTAATTCCGGAAGTAGGAGGTACCTTAAAACCCGTACCTCGAAAAGCTAACAGGATCTTGGTCTGTTGAGACACAGACAAAACTTATAGGTTTTTTATCATGAGGCAATTTGATAATCGTATCAAGCAAATAGCTAACTTGTGGGAACTAATGTGAAGTGTGTGAAAATGTTTTTTACCATACTTACTTATAACAGTTGCTGTAATCACAACTTCAATTTACTTTTTGCCTCACATCGAGTGAACAGCCGTATTGTGTGTCAAAAGTATAATTAACAACTTGCATTTAAGCATTTTTACAATAACGGAACAAACTTTCATAAGATATACGATTGTTGTATCGAGATAAAATTCATTACATTAATGTAAATGAATAAATTTAAATTAATTGCGCATTAGTGTAATAAGGGTTCTAGAATGCATTAATTAATTCAGTAATAAGTTTGATGATTTGGCCTAAGGGGTATTTTTAATGTTTTTATATTTTTGGTAATTATTATGCACACGTAGACAAGAGAACTTATTTTAATACTTTAGTTTACGCGATAGTACATTTAAATAAAACACTTTGACGGTTTAAAACGCGATATATTAGTATAAATAAGTTTAAGTAATATATCGCGTTTTAAACCGTTAAAGTGTTTTATTTGAACTTATTTATTTTTAGTTTTACTTTACGTCAAACGCACTCAAAGTGTAAGTATTTGAGTCAATTGTCAAACTTCTATAATGAGGTACCTATTATTGGTTAAATGCAATTTTAGAAAAATATACTTTAACTGTAATATTAAATATACATCTACGGCATCAACACACTTATTATTTCTTTTATATACTTATATAAGAGTGTGACAATTTAGATAAACACTGTGACCCGTGACCACAACTGATGCAAAGACTCCCGAAATGATGATAGAACTTTAAAAAGAAACCATTATTTTGTGGTTCCAAGTATTTGTTTACATACCTACTTTAAGTCCCTTTTGAACTTTTTAAACTTCTGTAACAATATGTTTGTCTATGGGTAGAGCGAATACATAGTAAAAGGTTTGTTTGGGTTCTAACGAAAAAACAGACGTATAACATGAATGATGATTACCTGATGACGGTGCTGGGGAAGGTATTGCATGATCGGAGGCATCACGCTCTCCGTCGGAACACTGTTCAACGTCTACTTCCACATCTTCGTCGGGCACTGGCGATCTACTGGATGCGCCAGAACTAAGAGATGCAGGGGAACTTTGGCGCGAGACCGGATCTAAAACCAGATATACAAAATACTATTAAGAAGCCAAACTAAAAATAAACAAATAATGTTGTGAAATTGTTGGTCACGTTTTATCAGTGCTTACCGATTTAAGAGTGTGTCAATAAAGGTGACGTATGCCTATATAGTAATTAAATAAAATGAAAATAAACTCTAAATTTCTAATCAAAGCTGAGAAACATATAGTGGTATATCGCAAATACTGTTCGACTCACATACCACCACCATCCACAGATGAAAAAGCTGTGAAGCTTAATCGCGTTTCGATTTCTGTGGATTTCCGAATATAGTCACAATAGGAGAGGTCCTTCCATCAATTGAAACCCCCACTTGTGGGTCCTCTTTTATAAAAAAGTACCATTCGATTCGAACTCGTAAAATATTGTATAGCGTTCGCTGTAGTGGTGTCGAATGTGTTCGGTTCCGCACAATTAATCCCAAATAACGAAGTCACCCGCAACATGACGCCTGCGTCCGCGCAGAACCCGCCAATTACCCACTTTTACATTCCTTTCTTGTTGTTGGCACAATAAGACCTACACGTTAGTTTTATAAAAACAAATAGAACAAAACAGAGATTCAAATATCGCAGTACACATTTAAATAAAACACCTTAACGGTTTAAAACACAATATATTTTAGTTAAACAAGTTTAATTTATATATATCGCGTTTTAAACCGTTAAATTGTTTTATTTAAATAGCGGTGATTAGTACAGGATTTGAAAGTTTTCGTAATTTTCAGTATGCAACGTCGGATGGTAATGTTTACTTATAATACGAGTATAATTGTATTTACGTACAAGATTCAAAACCTTGGATATCATGAATATTTGATAGGCCTAACTACACATGAAACGTTTCACTAATTATTTTAGATTTCAATGAGTCTATGTGTTATTATTTAGTGTAAGATTAACATTCACATCAAGTTTTATCAATATAAATTAAGCCATGAGCGGAGATAGGCAAGGAACTTAAACATGCTTACAGAATTTTACGAACCTGTACCTAAATATAATATCATAAATTAAAAACGTCGCTTATTGGAAAGAAAATCAATGCCATTTTAAACTATGTAACTTTACTTTTATATGTTTATAAGAGATAGTTTTACAGATCCAGATATAAGGGTTTCAAGAAAAATTAAACTAGGTACCTGTTCAATAAAAAGTAACGAAAGATTATTTACACATAGGTAGGTGTACCTACTTTGCAACCAGAGTTTAGCAATAAAAAGCAAGTCGAAATTTTTAAGATTGTGTTTTTGGCATTTTTAAGAAACGTAAATCAAAGCCAAGTATTCGATTCTACAATTTAAGTTTCCGTACTTAAGTAATCAATTTTAATGATATTGTCACGATTAGGAACACATTATGAACACTTTTATACAAATACTGTCTATAGTTTACGCGAGTAGACACATTTAAATAAAACACTTTAACGGTTTAAAACGCGATACATTAGTTAAACTTATTTGAAAATGATTTTTATGTCTCCCCGTGACCACGGCTGCTGCAAAGCATCCGAAACGTCGGGCCGAGGTTAAAAATCATTTTCAAATAAGTTTAACGAATATATCGCGTTTTAAACCGTTAAAGTGTTTTATTTAAACACTTTTATACGTGTCTATAATTAATTTAACATATTATCTCTTCGTAGTAGTGTATTTAGAGATATAATACTTTTTATGATCTTATGTTATAACACATAAATACGTGTACGATTAAATTATCGGTAATTTTATATTATTTGAGTAAGTGAGGTAATATTACAGAAACAATGGCCAATAAAATCCATTTATTACCTACTTGTTATGCCAATTGTAGAGCCATTTTGATTTATTCCTATATGTGTAATATAGACGAATTATACATATTAAATTTTATTATTCTATTAACATGCATATTTTTTGTAATAAAGGGAAATACCTAATGTAATTAGGTACATATCTTCGTTATTTATTGTTTCGAAAACTAATTAAATCCGATTCGAAATTAAAACACACTGAAACTGATTTTAAATAGTTGGACACCTACATATATATATATCTATGGATTAAGTCTTAGCACGTAAATTAAAAGTATTACTAATCAATAGAAAAATTTAATCATCAACAACACAAGATATACTTTTTTTCCTATAAAAATACATGGTATACATGTTGCCTCCGAGATACCAGTCAGCCACGCTGAGACTCCTCGTTGATACCTATTTAGTTACCTAACGATTTTGTCTATAAAGAAATATACTTGACTTATACTCGAGACCAATAAGAAATCCTAGCTAAAGACTAGTAATTTATTTAAATTGGTATACCTATCTCTACGGGGATTAAAGTTTATACCTTCAAGCTTTATTGTAGCAAATTTTTCGAGTAAGATACGGAAAATATCTAATATTCATTTTCCGTTTCTAACCAAGGTTTAGATCCTTTTGTATTACAATTTTAGAAAAATTTAATAAAAAATAATAGTTTGGCGCGATTCGCGATATTTTTTGTTTAAAATCTGTTGCAAATAAGAGAGTTACAGACAATTATTATTATTAAGTATTAAAAACAATATATTGTTTACAAACATTTTTTGAATTGGTAAAACGTTGTTTGGTTTCCAATAATTTGAAATTTCGTTTTAATAATATATAATATTTATAACAAAACATTAATATACATAAATTACTTATTTTTCTAACAGCCTATAGTAAATATATATAGGTATATACATATAAATAAGAAAATAAATATCTTTAGGCCCATCTCACCGCTGAAAGTTGGCGAGCGTGCGACGGCAAGAGGGCCGCGCAGACCCGGCTGTTCAGCGCTGCGAGCCATGATGGCGGCTATAGAGAAGTCGGTCGCGCGACTCTTGCTTTCCGCCACCATCCTGGCTGGCCAGCCTTCCACGTCCATCAACACCTCGCCACAATACCTCACCGGGCCGTCCGACACATCCTCAACCATTCCTAGAACCCGGGCACATAACGCGCACGCACAAAACGCTCTGGTCTACGCTGCCTGTAGACAAGATCGAACAGAACGGCGGACAAGCACGGACTGAGCGCGCGGGATGATTATTGACGCGGCGAGCGGCGAAAGCGCTGAATACCTTTGCAGCGCTTATGGGAAAAGATTTACGCGCAATGAAACAAGACGTTAGAAAAATTAAATTAACTTATTCAGAGCACAAGTTAAACTTAAATTATTTTAATAGAATATTATGTAACAGACCGCCATGAACAAATTTGCAATAGATGTCAGACTTTTTAGAATAGAATAGAAGACGTTTATTCGGAAACAACAAAATCACCTAACAATCAAATATATACCTAGTATAAGAAGAATTACAAATAAAATATTTTTTTTTTGTTTGTAGTTTTCTAACTAGGTACATATAATAAAAAATAAATCAACGATTTTGCAGTAATTTGTATTCTTTCAGTGAGTTTCTATATTAGGAGTTGATTTAAATTATCTTTAGAGGACTGCTTTATTCAGCTGAAACCTACCATGTCACAGCATAAGCCGCTGGATTGTATACCAGTGACGAGCGGGAGGGGCGTAGCGGGGGGCGGTGCCACCTCCCCGTCAACCACTGGGCTTTCTACCCGCTGACGCCGCCACCCCTTCGACCCACTCATAACAATATCGCATTATTATTTAATTTGTATTCCATATCACTTACCGACTGTCACAATTCATTGTTAGCTTTTCATTCGTCGTGGGGATAAAATTCTACATGCTCTTTACCACAGATTATAAAACTTCCAAAATTTGACAACCTTCCAAATTTAAAGTTCTGTCTTGATGCACTGGACAATGTCAATTTCTTCTATTCTTATTTCAAATTATCGCCAGCGCAACCGTCTGCGCCGCCCAGTTAAGTAAACATTACGCATAAAGCGAGACGGCATAATATGAAATTAAACCGTTTAGCACGCGATAGAGTAGGACGCACTCATTTATAGCTGTTTCTAAAACATATTAAACGGCTGCGATGCCATGATAGTATGATAATAGGGTCTCTAAGTCACAAGTAGATATTCTTCGTTACTTTCTAAATTTTCTCATCAATTTTCCTTCTATTAACGAATATAGTGTTAACTCATAAACTAAAATATTCCAGCTTTAATTAAAAACCAAAATAAATTTTAACCCAACCAAATTAATATAAATTTTAGGCTACTGTACACTTATCATCATGTTTTGGAAAAATTGACCTTAATGTCGAATAATCAGTTTATATCATAGGTATTATAATAAATGTGGTCTTGTTTAAATATCAAAGTCAATCCGATAGTCTTAGATAATACCTGTTAAGGTACCTACTGTACTTACTTGTTAAAAATTTTTTTAAAATTTAACCCCGGAAAAAAATTTTTTTTTAAACCCCCTTTTTTCCCCCCCACACTTTTTTTTTTTTCTGCTCGATTACCTATTTATAGACAAGTAATTTAGAACCGTTTGCCCTGCCCGACCGGAAAAAATACTTTTTCGCCAGTAATCAAACACGGGCGACTTAATTAATGTTAATTATGGTTTATTTTTTTCCTTTCTAGACTTTTAAAATTATCTATCTATTAAAAGCCTTTCTTAGATTGACAGAAACTGAACACTTATGGATACCTGGGTTGATTGTAAGCACTTCGAGCTACCGGTAACCTGTAATTCTAAGCCCATCTCTTTAAGTTTACTGTAACGCTTAAACACAAGAGACGCCATTTGCGAAAATATGAAAAATAACTGCATCTAAAACGTAATGTTTCCCTCCGTCTGAGGCAGGTATTAGGAGATATTATGGTGCGGTGGATGTTTTTCAATTTGCTGAAATGACAGCTCGGGTTTATGACAATACTGTATCTAAGGAAGATATTGCTGATAAATAGAGGTCGTTTGGATGAGAATATTTTAAGCGAGATCTAAAATATTCCCTACGCAATTTAAGACAAAAGATATTTATAACTTTGTATGTTCATTACAAAACCAAGCTAAGTAGCTAGGTAATACTTCTGTACAAGGATAGTATAGGGATGTATACCTAGGGTTCCAGGTACCTAGGGTTAGGTAAGACCTAGGGTTCTTAATAAAATATTCATAAGTCTTAAATACTGTCCATAGTTTACACGAGTAGTACACATTTAAAAAAAACACTTTAAGAGTTTAAAACGCGATGTATTAGTTAAACTTATTTGAAAATGATTTTTATCTTCGGCCCGACGTTTCGGATGTTTTGCAGCAGCCGTGCTCACGGGGAGACCACGTTAAAAATCTTTTTCAAATAAATTTAACTAATATATCGCGTTTTAAAGCGTTAGAGTGTTTTATCTAAATTCATAATTCTTGTAAATTTGGCATGTACAAGTAATCATAAGTAGGTAGGTATATCTAAGTACTTTATAAATACGTACCTATCTTACTTAACCCCTTAACACCAATAAGTAGATGTTAAAAGTTAAAAATGAAATAAAGATTCTTTACGGTAGTAAATACAGACTTCGATTACCGAGAACAAATAAGACTAGAAACTCACGCATACCTAGGAGTAAAATCAACTAAGAATTAATCAATAATGTCCATTAAAGTGTCTATATCGATATGATTTTGTCCAGGTCCAACCATCGTCCACAGATGAAAAATCCTAATCGCCTTTTTTTATACAAAAATTAAATATTTCTTAGTCTTAAAAAAAACACTAACGGTTTAGAACGTAATCTATTAGTTGTCTCCCCCATACCCATGGCTGCTGCAAAGCATCCGAAACGTCAGGCCATAGTTAATTTTTTTTTACAAATAAGTTAACTAATATAATATATCGCGTTTTAAACCGTCAAAGTGTTTTATTTAAATGTGTCTCTCTCTCTTACTCTCGTAATTACACTCTGTGTAATTACTCGCGTAAACTGCAGACCAGTATTTCTTTGTCTGTTCCACATTGGGAACACGAACTTCATTTTACAAAGCGAATAACACATATTTTTGTGTAACCGATTACACTTTTGTGAAGTTAATCCTATTAGAGGTAGTCAAAACATCATGTTGATTCCGGAACTCATAATTCTTACTTCGAGTCAACAAGCAAAACTCGGAAACGATACAAGAATGGGCATTGCATCTATACAATACAACCTATTGTACTATTGCCTAAGGCAAACTAGCGCAGGGGACCCTGTCGTGGATATAGCATATCTAGATAAGTTAACTGTAATTGTAATTATATGTAAGTTTTATTTTGATACGTTTAAGATTATATTTAACATTGTACATTTTGTTTCGCCCACCTTGCACATCTCGTTTTCCCGTAAACTTTTTTCTCTTTCATCTTGGGTTGCCTGGAAGAGATCGCTCGTTAGCGATAAGGCCGCCCATTGCACTCCATATGTTTAGTATATAAGTTTATATTTTTGTTAATTTTTTTGTGCAATAAAGTGTAAATAAATAAATAATTGTTGTATCTTTTATAGTAAATTTCATAATGTTAAATACTAAAGTTTACTAAACTTAATTACTATACAACATTTAAGTACTTTTAGTATTTTTTTCACTTAGTACTTTCATAATGAAATGAGTCCCTAAAACTTCTGTAGCTAAATAATTAAGCGTGTTGCCTAGCGATAAGAGGTCTTGCGTTCGAATCTCGTGGAAACAATTGATTGCTTCGGTCGGTCAAGGAACAGACGTTTGATACTACTCGCCCTTACAGTAGTGATCAGTAAAACGGACACAGAAATGTGTTCGCGCTATGCCCTACGCATCTAAACGGGATTTTTTTTTAATAATAAAAAATCATTATATTAGGTCTTGGAGTTTTCTAGGTGTTGGATTTTGGGTCTTGGGGGTTGTCTTGGAATGATTTTCAGAAGGAATACATTAGTATCTTTAATCTACCATTTAATACATATATATATAAACACGCCAGAGCTCCCTTCGCCCTTCCCCCGCGTAACCTAAATGCTCCATTTAGTATTATAACATCCACGTTGCCACAATCTCGGCGCCCGCTTTTTTCAGAACGTCAAAACGTCAATGGGCCTTGCGAATCGCAACCAAATAGGTATTTGTTTGGGACACACGTGGCGAGGGCCACACAGGACGCCATTTTGGTCATTACGCAACAGAGAGCGGTGTGTTTTTGCTGAAAACGCAAAATGTAATCAACGAGACATTGGTCACATTTTAAGCGTGAAATGAACGCGCTACTTTTGTTTCTGTAAATCGATTATGAACGAATTTTGTTATGATCGATGCATGTAACTCGATGAAACGGTGCGACTTTCAAACGCCGTTTTGTTAATCGAGTTTGCTGTATATAATATGTACCTGATATATGTATATACTACTAGTTCTATGTCATACAAATTTAGTATAAAATACATTTACTTCAGAATGTTATAGATAGAGGAGGATAGACAAACATATTCAGAGACTAAACGGAAACTTAACGGCTAGCTCAGCTGTGGACGGTAGTTCGTGACCCGGACAGAATTTCGATTTATTTAAAAAATACAACATTATCTATGTACCTACATAGGTTTATCGTTTATCTATGCTTTTTATTTAAAAAAAGAAGAGTGTATTCACCTTCGTAATATTTATCTATAAATTTTAATAAGAGTTAATTATTTTATTTTGCACGGTATATTAAAGTACATATTATATAGCTCTCTTATAAAAGCGTAAACAATTTGTTAAGTACGTTCATTGGAGTCGTTTACGAGATAAAATAAAGCCAGTCACTTCACATACTTTGTGACTATCTGAAATAAAAATCGTAAGTCATAAGTGTGAGTAATATCGCAGTCTGTATAAAGTGCGGCCATAAAATGTCGCGAGAAAAAATATCGCGAATATTTGAATAAAGAATAAGTGAAACATAAAGAGGCGCAAGTAGCAAGAAATCGCGCGCATGACAACAGGGTTGTCATAAGCTAATCACTCAGAAATAGCGTGTTCCGTATTATGCAGTGTACACGAGAAGTAATAAAAAAGTTATTTATCCAGCAACTAAGTAATACACATTTAATGAAAGACAACGGTTTAAAACGCGAAATATAATGAACACACCGTGTGACCCCTGCTACTGCTGCAAAGCATTTGAAACGTTAGGCCGTAGTTAAAATAAATTGTAAACGTTACCTAATACATTTTGCATTTTGAACTGTTAAGAATGTTTTATTTAAACGTGATTTTCGTTAAATTAAATAATTAGAAATACTCACAACGATCTCCGATTGATCTAATTTTTTTATGGGTTACCAATAAAGATTTTGATTTTGGACTAGGTTTGTTTATACAACAGTAATTTTATACCCTGTATTAAAAAGAATACACAAATAAAAACAATTGACAGTTACAGAACTTCAATAATGTGTCTTTGGAACAGGTCATTTAACGTCAAGCCACAAGCGGATAAACAGTTTTTTAAACTTTTAAATCACGAACACTTTTTTCTACATTGTCTAAAAAGTGCAGTAATATTTATGAATAATTTAAAAGAAATAATGTAGATATATATAATGTATAGAATAAAAAATCTCGATTCCGGCAGCCCTCATTACAAATGACAAATGTAATGCCGGGTGTCGGGTTGCCCGCGGCCACCCGCGCGCAGGATTAGTTTCAGCTTACTTTCCGTTCAGCTCCC